CAAATTTATATCAATTGTCGATAATGTCAGCGTTCTTCGATTACCTCCGGGCCCTTGGGGCCCTTTTTATATCGCCGAAAATTTGCCCAGGGTTGACGGTCTTTAAAGCCCATTCTACAATTGCGTAAGCGTAGTTGTAAGTGGTTGTAGTTGTAAGAATTAACCTATCACAGTCAAATATGAGGAGAATATTCGACTGTGATTAGTCAATTCTTAAGCCCAGTGTCCACGATGCTAGAAATCCGTCCGAGATCTCGGATGAAGAAAAAATTGACCAATCGCAATGATCATGTGATTAAATTGTTTAAATGTGATTGGTTAATTCTTTCTCTCTCCGAGATCTCGGACCAATTTCTAGCATCGTGGACACAAGGCTTTACAACTACAACCACTTACAACTACGCTTACGCAATTGTAGAATGGGCTTAATAGTATCTCATCGGTGGTTGCAGCGCAATCTCAGTTATTTCTTCACAGTTGGCAAGCCTGGATGCCGAACCGCAATGTGAGAGAAAATTAGAGAGAGACACTTGCAAACTGCACACTCTTGGTGCGTTCGGGATGACGCTAATAGCGCTATTTCTGTCATTCTATCTTCGTTGTTTATTAAACGTAAAATAAGGATAGAATGACACAATAGCGCTAATAGCGTCTCCCTGAACGCACCTTCTATGTTATCCTTTCACCATGGTCGCAACTGATAGATTTCCTAACCTTCAATAATCGAACTTTAACTTGATATTTTGGTTCGTAGGGCAGAGCGACACTATTTTTGGCTAGATTCGTTCGTTTCGGACAAAAATGCGTCGAATGAGTTTAATTTTATCGATTTCTGAGGTGACGTCGCTAAATTGAACAAGTACCTTTTTATTTACAAATATATAATGACTGACTAAATACAAAACAGAATGGATATAATAAAGGAACATCTGCTTGTACCAACGAAGTATATGATACTGACAGACGAGAGAATTTGTTTGACAGTTCACAGAAACTGGCTCTCTCGATTTTTAACAGTTGGACCGTTGAATTTTATCAGTCATGATCGTTTATCCAATGATGAAATTGCAGCACAGCCCACTATCGATGAATTGGGTGGCGATTGGCTGAAAATTTATGCCAAAGTATTTTTAACATTTTCACATATTTTAAGTAAGGCGCACAATGAAACAACAAATATGTAAGAAAATTTTGTTATCATTAGGTATATATAAAGCAACACAGGAATGTAATTCCTTTACCGAGAGGAAGATCTATTAATAATATAAGGAACCAAGCAGAGTTAATGTTTTCGCAATTGTTGCATTATGTGGCAGAAACTAATTATCGAAATCTATGGAAAGAAATATATAAGAAATATTACAGTATGTATTCGACGTGCTATTTAAAATTTTTAGAGTTTTGTTAGTAGATGTATTTTTTTAATATAAATTAATAATTTCTTGTAAAATATATAGATCCCTGGAATTATGTTGAACAAAAAGAACACTCCAATATCAGTGCTAATGTAAGCGATGTTACTATTATGCATGAAATACTGAATAGAATGTATGGTTGTACGGTAGTACAAGTTCAACATGGTACAGTTTTATCGGTATCGAATGGTATATTGTCTAAAACACATTGTAATCTAGTACCAATCCATTTTGTCATAGAGACACCATCTGCATTTATAATGTTTTATGAACAGACTGCCAATTATTCTCTTCGTGAGTGAGTATATCATATTTATGTATATATTTTTAATATATATTAATAATTTCAAGATATTTCTATATTTCTATATTCTATACCTATAAATATTAATTTTAGGTGTGTAATGTATAGTCCTGCTGCTCTTAATACAAGTTATGGAAAACCTTTGTTTATAGTTTATCAGTTATTGAGATTATCCAGAGATTTGCATGATCGTGGTCTTGCTTTAGGCGAAATTACACTCAGTGATATATTAATTACAGACAATTTTACTATTCAGGTATATTTCACATAGCAGAGCTACTTATATAGTAAACAATATTTTAAT